AAAATGGCTTGACAGAATTAGACTTCTCCACTTGGAATATGAAGTCTTGAAGCCAGCAATGAGAACCGGTATCTCAGGAAATAGGATCCCACGGAATGTAGCTCTGCTGGACCCTGCATAGCATCTTCAGTCTTTCCCTTCAGTATATATATGTTGGTGTTCAGTCTAGAACCCTAATAAATACCAAACTGTAGTGCTGCTATGCCCTGGACCAAGTCCAAAACAACTACCATAATTATTCTCTTTCAAAATTAAAAAAGTATACTGTCTGAGATAAATGTATGGCCTAATTGGAAGATTATATATGATATTTCTCCAAAAAATACATGTGGCCATATACAGAAAATCATAAAATTACCCAGGAAAAAAGCACCCTGCTCCAGTAACTATCATATTGCCACACTTCCTTTTTTTTCTATTTTTTATTTTGAAATAATATTACAAAGAACTTCTAAAGATACATCACCCAGATTCCCCAACTATTCACATTTTATTACATATGCCATGTTCTCTTCCAGAATATATACATAATATTATTTTTTTGTCTGAATCACTTTAGGATAAGTTACAGATATGGTACCCCTTTGTATTTAAATATTCACTCCTAAATACTTCCTAAAACAAGCCACTCTCTCACATAACCATGGTATAATGATCAAAATCAGAAAATTGACATTCATACTATACGATAACCTTATCTACAAGGCCTTATTCACATTGTACAATTATCTGAATGTCCTTTATAGAAAAAAAATTCTGACCCATGTCCAATTTGGGATCATGTTGCATTAAGTTGTCCTATCTCTTCAGTCTCTAATCTGAAACAGTTCCTCCGGTTGTCTATCACTCATTGTCTTTTATAACCTTGACAAATTTAAAGAGTGCAACCAGTTGTTGTAGAATGTCCCACTGGCCATTTAGACTTGTCTGATGTTTCCTCCTGATTAGATTCAGGTTGTGCATTTTTGGCAAGAATACCACAAAAGGGGAGTTGTTGTGCTCTCAATGAGTAAGCACATGGTATCAGTTTGTCCCATTACTAGTAATTTGGACTTTATTTAGATGGAATCTGCCAGGTTTTTCACTTTGTGGGGAGATACTTTGAGATTATACAGATATCCTGTTCATCAAACTTTCACCCACTAGTTTTAGCATCCACTGATGATTCTTGCCTTATTTGTCAAATGGTGATTTTTCTAACATCATTCCTTCTACATTAGTTGGCATTCAACTTCTTAGATAAGCACTTTTCTTTCATTGTTAGTGTGGACTCACTGAATCCCACTTTATTCAATGGGTTATGATCCATTATCATCATTATTTATTTAAAAGCTCCAATTGTCCCTGATCCCCGATTCTGTCAGTATGAGTCTCTTCAAACTGACTTCTGTGTTATTTTCACCTCATTATTTTTTTAGCTATTCTTTACTTTCTGAGCTCTAGGCTCATCTCGGTTTTTTTTCTCTATTGTAGTAAGGACACTTAACATGGGCTCTACCTTCTTAACAAATTTTTAAGTGTAAAATACAGTACTGTGAACTGTAAGTATGGTGGTGTACAGATCTCTAGAACTTAATCTTGCACAACTGAAACTTTATACACATTGAATAGCAACTCATCTCACTCTCCCTCTAGCCCCTGGCATCTACCATTCTGCCCTCTGCTTCTGTTAGTTTTAGATCCCTTATATAAGTGGAATGACGAGATATCTGTCCTTCTGTGACTGGCTTATTTCACTTAGTAATATTCTTAGGGTTCATCCATGTACCACATGGTATGATTTCTTTCTTTTTTTTTAAGTCTGAATACTCCATTGTGTTTTATAGCACATTTTCTTTATGCATTCATCCATTACTGGACATGTGGTTGTTTGCACATCTTGGCTATTGTGAATAATGCTGCAATGAATATGAGAGTGTAATATTTCTTCAAGATCCTATTTCTCAATTCTTTTGGTTTCTTCAAGATCCTATTTCTCAATTCTTTTGGTTAAACACCCAGAAATAGAATTGCTAGATCATATTAATTGTACTTTTAATTTTTTGTGGAACCTTCATATTGGTTTTCATATTACTGTACCATTTTACATTCCTACCAAAACTATACAAGGGTTCCAATTTTTCCACATACTTGCTAACACTTTTTTTGATAATTAGCCATCCTAAGTGGTGGGAGGTGATACCTCTTTGTGGTTTTGATTTGTATTTCTCTGATGAACAGTAATGTTGAACATTTTTTCATGTGCTTATTGGCCATTTCTGTCTTCTTTGAAGAAATGTCTACTCAGTCCTTTGCCCATTTTTTAATCAGGTTGTTTGATTTTTTTACCAGAGTCAGAAAACTTCCTTATATGTTTTGGATATTAACCCTTTATCAGATATATAGCTTACAAATATTTTTTCCCATTCTAATAAATTGCCTTTTCAGTCTGTTGTTTCCTTCGCTGTGCAGATATTTTTATTTTGATGTATCTTGGCTTATCTTACAATTTCTTTGCCATGGCCTTGGAATTTACCATTTCTTCAAGAAGCCATGGTTCCTTTAAGTGGGACAAGGAACCAAGATCTAGGCACTAGATGTACTCTTTGCTACTGGGACTTCCAACCTTTTCAAAATGGATTATTTACTTAGTCATAACTAGATAGTTGCAATTTTGAATCTTGTGTTTTTAAGTATTTTTCCATATTAACTTATCTTCAAACTTTTTTAATGGTCATACACTATTTCCTTGAGAGGAGGTAACGTAACACACCCTTGATTTGCTTTGTATTTTTCACTATTGAAAAAAACCCCTGAAATACACCTTTCTAACATACTGAAAAATAGTCTTTTTATATTAAGGATTAAAAGCTTATTTTATTCAGTGAAAGGCTATTAGTCATTTAAAGGCCCTTGATACAAACTGCAAAAACACTGTCCAACAGGAGTGCCCCTAATCAGAGTGTATGACAATTTGCCTTATCTCATGTTTATATCCACTGGATATTATTATAAAGCTTTTTTCTTTGCTATTTGAGAATTTAAGCATTTGTGGGAAGTTTTACCTCCTACCAAGAAGTGCAAGATAAAATTAATTTGCAGAATGACTTAGAGTGTACTAAATAAAGACGTTCACTTCCACTTAATCCTCACCCAAAGAGTTGGTATTATTTCTGTGAGTAGGAACCTAAATTTCAGAAAGGTGGGCTGTTCAAAGTCAGCCATTTAACTAAACACAGAATAATGTTTAAAAGAATGGACTCTGGCACAAGATATGTGGGTCTGAGTCCTATCTCCACTAACTGGTTGTGTAACAGCAGGGAAATTATTTGAAGTCTTCATCCTTCAGTTTCCTCATCTATAAAATGGGAGATGATAAGACTGTCTACTCATTAAGCTATTGTGAAGATTAAATGAAAAATTTTATGTACTACACAAAAGTGCTTCAGTAGTACTTGCCATGCAAGTGCTATGTAAATGTTAGCTGTTATTATCATTAAGATGGATAAACCAAGTGTTTTTAAGGGGACTAAACTGTTACACATTTATGCCAAGAGAAGTAAAATGTACTTTGCTTACTGTCACTACAGTAATAGTGGCAGAATTAGAATCGAATCTGTAGATGACTGTGATTACAAAAGCCATGTTTCCCTCCCTTGATGAATGCACATATTCTAACTTGATTCAATACAAGAGAAAGCTCTTATAAGGGTGAGAATGGTCTGTAAGTACTCACAAACGAAGTCTTGAGCCAGGTCTTGAAAAAAGTTTAAGATTCACATTAATAAGAAAGATAGCATGTACAGGTGAGTTGATCAATAAAGACATTCCCCAAAAAGGTGGATATACTTAGAGAGTAAGGTCACTCTAAGTAGTCTGTGTGAGGAATAGTTGATTCATTCTCTGAAAACCTATTGTATGCCAGGTGCTGTCCTTGACCTTGAAGCTATAAATTGTGCAGCAAGAGAGGTAGAAAGATTAGCAATGTCTCTAGCCTGAAAAGTGGTTTGATAAAGTTTAGTACAGAGCACCAAAGGGGTGCCAAGGGGCACCCAAACATTAACGATGTTAGAGTTGTAGGCAAGGCTTCTAGAAGAGGCCTCTGAGCTGAAGGGCAGGATGGAAAGTGGATATATCTGGGATAGAAGGGAATTTTAGGCAGGACAGAAAGTGCAGACAGGGAAGCATACAAGAGCATCATGCATCCAGGACACCGCACAACAAATGGCTGAACAGTGCTGGGTATTACTGGAATGGGCGCGGGGGCTGGTAAGGAATGCAAAGCCCCGACAAAAAAAAATGGCTGTACCAACAGGCCAAGAACTGAGATTTTTATCTTGAAAAATAAGTGTTCCATTGCCGGAATTTAAGCAGAAAAGAGAATCATTTAGTTACAATGAGGGGCACGCATTTGGGAGGGATAAGGCTAAAAGCAGGGTCACTAATTGGGAGACATTTTAAACTATTATTAAAATACCAGCGTTTGTGACAGAAGATCAGATAACAGCGGCACTTGGTGGAAGGGCCGAAAAGTTGGATTCGATGCAACAATGTACTGAACCTTGGAGAAGTTAGGTCGCACGACCCAGCGGCGGAGGCTGCACTCGAACCCGGGCCAGCCCCGCAGCCAGGGCTCCGGAAGGCTACAGCGATTAAATCAGAATATACATCTACCTCAGAATACACTGAGCTGCTGGGTTCCGAAGTTGAGATTAGGCGTCCCAACTCCCCTTTCACAACAGTTTTAATGCCGCTGCATTTTCTTTGTTCTTTTTTTCAAATCGTTTTGTACTTTTCCCGGCCCGCGAATCTCCTCAGTCCCTCTCCACCCCACAGCGAACGCCTCAGGTGCGCAGCCCTCACCTGGCCCGGGCGAGATCCAGGCCTGACCATCTCCCGCGGCCTCTGAGGAGCGCAGACGCAGGGAAGCAAAACCGCACGATAAAAGGAATTAACCGCCGTGCACGACCGGGCCCCCCTCGGCCCGCCCCCCAAGCTTCCGCTTCCGGGAAGGAGCCCGCCGAACGCCGCGCCTCACAGTCTCCAGCGCGCCGCGGAGGCCTCTTCCCTACTCTCAGCCTGGCTTCCTGGGCTTGCGCAACAGACCCCTCCGTGCCTCCAGCTCTCCACCTACTGGCTCCCCGGGAGGGGTGCCCAAGGGTACGCGAGAGGGGCGGTGCCTGGCGGGGAGGGCGCCGCGAGGAGCCGCGGCACTGGGTCTCCGAGAGCAGGGTTTCTGAACACCTCGGAGAGCCAAGTTCGCTGTCCTGTTGACAGTGCTTTCCGGTGGCGGATCGCTGCCCTGAATCAGCTGGGGGAAGTCGCGACATGGACGCGCCAGAAACCTAGGAATGGACTAGGGTAGAGGGCGGATCGGTGTCAGAAGGAATTGTGCTGGGCTCGTGGGTTTATTTTAGGTCCTGTATTTTTAGTTCGGTGTTTTGTGTGCCATTTTGGATGATTTTTGTTCTTCATAGTCAATAAAAATCAATCCTCTGTCTCGTTATCTTTGCCTAATTCTGAGGGCGATTTCAAAATTATTCACTGTGGCTCTTAATCTCAGAATGATGCTCGTTAGATTTTTGTTTTACTTCAATGCATAGTTGTTTGCTCTTCAGCCGAAGTAATTACTGTTTATAAAGAATGTCTCGGTATTCCTACCATTGGGGCTGCACGAATTTTAATAGGAATTAGTCTTTGGTTTTAAGGTATTGAGTTTTGGACTAATGTTTTAAGTCCAGTTGGGGAGAAGGTAGATAACCCAATTGATCCAATTTTTTTAAATAGGAAAAAATTACTTTTTGGAACTCGCCATTATCATTAAAGACCCAGAAACTAAATCTGTCCACCAATGTATTGCACACTCATACTGAATGATTTTGGGAGACTAGATATTTAATAAACTTAGCTTTGAATTCGATTACACTGAAAGCCTCTCCCTCCTTTCTTCTTCCCCTTTCTATAAGTGTTTAACATATTCACCTGAGGTTAAAGATTTTTTTCGTAGTTGACTTGATTTTTTAAAATATACTAATTTTTCTTAAGTAATACATGCTTATTTTAGAAAATGTAGATAAACAAGAAATCAAAATCACCTAAAATCCCACTACCCAGGGAATACTACTCTTAACAGTTTAGTGCATTCCCTTCTAGACTTTTCCAACTGTGTATATATGTGTGAATACATTACAACAACATGACAATATGATACATATTACTGTAACACGAATATTTTATCTTAATATCTCATCAGCATTGTTTTTCTTTACAATTACAAAATTAATGCTTGTTCCATTTCTCTACTGTTTAAAATTTTATGCTCCTCTCTACCTTTTTATGTTTGTTTTCCTCTTTTTTAATTTTTAAGATAATAGCTTCAGGTAGTTTTTTATTTTTACATTTTTTTCCAAATTTTTTATTGTGGTAAAACAGACAACAAAATTCACCATCATAACCACTTTTAAATATACATTTCAGTGATAATAAATACATTCATAATGTGCAACCATCATCACCACAATCTGTCTCCAGAACTCTTTTCATCTTGTAAAACTGAAACTGTAAGCCCATAAAACAGTAACTTCCTATTCTGCCTTTCTCCCAGCTCCTGGCAACCACCATTCTACTTTTTGTTTCTGTGATTTTTGATTACTTTAGTTCCTCATGTAAGTGGAATAAGACAGTATTTGTCCTTTTGTGACTGGCTTATTTCATTGTTCTTTAAAGTTCATCTATGTTGTAGCATCTGTCAAAATTCCCATTCTTTTTAAGGCTAAATAATACTCCATGGTATGTATATACCATATTTTATCATTTTTCTGTTAATGGACACCTGGGTTTGTTTCCACATTTTAGCAATTGTGAATATTGCTGATATGAACATGGGTGTACCAATATCTTTGCTTTCAATTCTCTTGGGCAAATACCTAGAATTCCTTGATCTTGTGGTAAATCTACTTTTATATTTGTTAAAAACCACCATACTCTCTTCCACAAGGGCTGTACCATTCCCACCAACAGTGTGCACAAGGGTTCCATTGTCTCCACATCCTCACCAGCGATTATTTTTCTGGTTTTTTGATAGCAGCCATCCTAATGAGTGTGAGGTGGCATTTCTTTGTAATTTTCATTTGCATTCCCCTAGTGATTAATGATGGTGGCATCTTTTCATGTGCTTACTGATCATTCATATATCTTTGGAGAAATGTCTCTTCAAGTCTTTTGCCCATTTTTTAATTGGTTGGTTGTATTTTTGTTTTTGAGTTCTAGGAGTTCTCTATATATTCTGAATATTAATCTCTTATTAGGTACATGATTTGCAAACATTTTCTCCCTTTCAGTGAGTGGTCTTTTACTCTGTTGATATTTTCTCTTGATGTACAAAAATTTTTTTTTTATGAAGTTTCCAACTTGTCTATTTTTTCTTTTGTTGCCTGTATCTTTGGGGTCATAGCCAAGAAATCATTGGGAAATCCACTGTCTTGAAGCTTTTGCCCTATGTTTTCTTTTAAGATTTTTACATTTAAGACTTTGATTCATTTTTTGTTAATTTTTTATTATGCTGCAAGGTAATGGTGAAACTTCATTGTTTTGCATGTGGATATCCAATTTTCCCATCATCATTTATTGTAAAGACTGTCCTTTAACCATCGAAATGGTCTTAGCACTCTTATAAAAAATAATTTGACCATATATGTGAAGGTTTATTTCTGGGCTATCTATTCCATTGGTCTATATGTTTGCTATTTTTATTACAGTCACTATATAAGTTTGAAATCAAGAAGTGTGAATCCTTCAGCTTTGTTCTTTTAAGATTATTTTGGTTATTCAAGGTCTCTTGAGATCCCATATGAATTTCAGCATGAGTTTTTCTATTTTTGCAAAAACTGTCACTGGATTGTGATAACAATCGAACTGTAAATTGCATTGGGTAATACTGACATCTTAACAATGTTAAGTATTTCAATCCATGAATATGGGGTGTGTTTGCTTTCATTTATGTTTTCTTTATTTCATCATTGTTTTGAAGGAAGTTTTCATTGTCCAAGTCTTTCACCTCCTTAGTTAAGCTAATTGCTAAGTATTTTATTCTTTTTGATGCTGTTATAAATGAAATCTTAATTTTCTTAAAATTAAGATTTTCTTAAATGTGGTTTTCTTAATTTCCTTTCAGATTGTTCATTGTTAGTTGTATAGAAATGCAGCCAATTTATGTGTGTTGACTTTGTATCCTGTTACTTTGTTGAATTCATTTAGTAGTTCTAACAGTTCTTTTGGTGAAATGTTTAGCATTTTCCACATATAAGGTCATATACTCTGTGAACAAAGATAATTTAACTTCTTCCTTTCTAATGTGAATGACTTCTATTTCTTTTTCTTGTTTATTTCTCTGGCTAGAACTTCCAGGATCATGTTGAATGGAAGGGCTAAAATGGGTATCCTTGTCTTGTTCCTGATCTTAGAGGTAAAACTTTCAGTCTTTCACCATTAAGTACGATGTTCACTGTGGGGTTTTTGTAGATGGCTTTTATTTTTATTTATTTATTTATTTATTTAAAGATTTTTAAAATTAAGGTATCATTGATATACCTCTTACGAAGGTTTCACATGAAAAACAATTTGGTTGCTACATTCATCCATATTATCGAGTCGCCCCCCCCATACCCCATTGCAGTCACTGTCCATCAGTGTAGTAAGATGCCACAGTCACTACTTGTCTTCTCTGTGCTACACTGTCTTCCCCATGATCCCCCCACACCATGTGTACTAATCATAATATCCCTCAATCCCCTTATCCCTCCCTACCTGCCCTCCCCCAACCCTCCACTTTGGTAACTGCTAGCCCCTTCTTGGAGTCTGTGAGTCTACTGCTGTTTTGTTCCTTCTGTTTTGTTTCGTTGTTATACTTCACAAATGAGGGAAATCATTTGGCATTTATCTTTCTCCACCTGACTTATTTCACTGAGAATAATACCCTTTAGCTCCATCCATGTTGTTGCATGGGAGGATTTGTTTCTTTCTTATGGCTGAATAGTATTCCATTGTGTATATGTACCACCTCTTCTTTATCCATTCATCTACTGATGGACACTTAGGTTGCTTCCATATCTTGGCTATTATAAATAGTGCTGCAATAAACATAGGGGTGCATATTTCTTTTTGTATCTGAGAACTTGTTTTCTTTGGGTAAATTCCTAGGGGTGGAATTCCCAGGTGAAATGGTATGTGTATTTTTAAATTTTTGAGGAACCTCCATATTGCTTTCCACAATGGTTGAACTAGCTTACATTCCCACCAGAAGTTTAGGAGGGTTCCCCTTTCTCTGTTTCCTTGCCAGCATTTGTTGTTCCTCGTCTTTTCTATGTTGACCATCCTAACTGATGTGAGGTTATATCTCATTGTGGTTTTAATTTGCATTTCCCTGATAATTAGTGATGTGGAGCATCTTTTCATGTGCCTGTTGGCCATCTGAATTTCTTCTTTGGAGAATTGTCTTTTCATATCCTCTGTTAGATGGCTTTTATTATGTTGAAGTACTTTTCTTCTTTTTTATTATACTGAAGAAGAAACTACTTATTTTGTTGAGTGTTTTTATAATGGAAGTGTGTTGAATTTTGTCAAATGCTTTTTCTACATCAATTGAGATGAACATGTGTTTTTTTTCCCCTTCATTCTATAAATGTAGTGTGTTACATTGACCATTTTATATTGAACTATCCCTCCATCTTAGGAAAAAACTATATAAAATAAAAAATATTTTGTTGTGGTATATAATCCTTTCAATACACTGCTGAATTCAGTTTCCTGGTATTTTATTGAGGATTTTTATATCAATATTCATAAGGCAAATTGGTTTGTAGTTTTCTTGTAGTGTCTTTGGCTTTGATATCAGGGTAATAATACTGGTCTTAAAGAGTGCATTATGGAAGGTTCCCTCCTCTTTGATTTTTTGGAAAAGTTTAAGAAGGATCTATATTAGTTATTTAAATGTTTGGTAGAATTCACTAATGAAGCTGTCAGGTGCAGGCATTTTCTCAGTCAGGAGTTTTTGGATTACTGATTCAATCTCCTTACTATTTTTTTTTCCTACACAACAATAATAGTATACACAGCAGTAATAGTACAGCTCCTTTTGGGTTCCCAGATCTGATTCCAGTGCATGTGTGTGTGGGAGAGGGGTCTTTCCATGCCCAACACCAAGTAATTCTTGAACACCAGCAGAGTGTCTGAGAACTCAACTCAGTTCTGAGGCTACCTGCCTGGCGACAGCACCAGATTCCCCAGGTTAAGTGCTCCATCTTACAAGACTTCCCTCCACCCACCTCCCACTCCAAATGCCAGACACAAGGCCTGGGAAGTTACCTGTGCTTCTGACCAACTGGCTACAGATAGAAGGTTCCCATGACCTCCCCCTTAGGTTTGACTAATTTTCTAGAGTGGCTCAGAACTCACGAATACACCTTTACCATTTTAATGAAGGATACTTTAAAGGATACAAGTTAGCAGCCAGATGAAGAGCTACATAGAGCAAGGTCCCAAATAAAGGAGTTTCTATCTTTGTGGAGCTTGGGGCCTGGCTTGGTGACATGTGGAACATTCTGGTTCCCCAAGAGTGGAAGCTGTCTTCAACAGAGAAGCAGGTTCCAATAGGGCAATATGCTCCTCTCCTGGGTTTTTGTGAGGGCTTCATTGCATAGTCATGATTGACTAAATCACTGGCCACTGACTGATTCAACCTCTACCCTTGGGTGGGGTTCAGAAGTCTCTCATTAACATGACAGGACACCCATTTCACCTTTAAAACTCTGAAGTATTTTCAGGAACCATGGATGAATACCAAATATACCTGGAAAATATATATTTAGTTATCTGAATGACCAAATATGTATTTCTTATGACTCATTATATTGCATAGGCCTATTCAAATTTTTTGTTCATGGTTTAGTCTAGGTAAGTTTTGATTTCCAGGAATTTTTCCTAATGTAGGTTATCCAATTTATTTATAGTATTCTCTTTAGTACTTTTCTGTAGAATCAGTAGTAACATCCCACTTTAATTTCCAATTTTAGTAATTTCAGTCTTTTCTCTTTTTTTTCATAGTCCATCTAGCTAAAGGTTTGTCCATTTAGTTGATCTTTCAGAGAATCAACTGCTGGTTTTATTGAATTTCTCTACTGTTTTTCTATTTTTTATCTCTGCTATATTTTTTTTCCTTCTGCTAAATATTGAAGTTTGCTTCTTTTTTAGTTCCTTAAATTAAAAATTTAGCTTGTTGATTTGTGATCTCTTTTATTTTTAATGAAAGCATTTATAGCTATAAATTTCCCCTTAGCTCTATTGCTACAACCCATAAGCTTTGGTAAATTCTGCTTTTTTCATTCATCTCTCAGTATTTTCTAATTTCCCTTGTGACTTCTTTGATACATTAGTTGTTTAAGAGTGTGTTGCTTAATTTCCACAAACTTGTGTGTGTGTGTGATTGATTTTTCATTTTTATTTTGTTATTAATTTCTAATTTCACCCTATTGACATTGCAGAAGATACTTTGGTAATAATTTATCTTTTAAAATCTATTGAGACCTGATTTTTGACTTAACATATGGTCTATGGAAAATGTCCTATGTGCATTTGAGAAGAATTTGTATTCTGTTGTGTTGGGTAGAGTGTTCTGGATATGTATTAGATTTATGGTGTTTATCATGTTTAAGTCCTCTGTTTCCTTACTTACCTTCTGTCTGGTTGTTGTATCCATTACTGAGAAGAGAGCATTATTGAAATCTCCAACTATTATTACGTATTTGTTTATCCCTGCCTTCAGGTTTGTCAGTTTTGCTTTAGTCAGTTTCACCACTAGACAGTGTCCCACTGGTCCCTTAGTCTCTGTTTACTTCACTCTTTTTACTGTTTCTTAGATTCAATAGTTTACACTGTATTGTCTTTCAATTTGATTCTTTCTCCTGCTTGCTCAGATATGTCTTTCAATCTCTCTCATGAGTTTTTCATTTCAGTTATCATACTTCTTATATCCAGAATTTCAGATTCCCAATATTCAAAGGACAGGGACATTTTTGCTCACCTTAGCTTCCCCAGGCTGTGTGCAAGCTGCTCCCAGAAACTATGTATGGCTGCCTGATATTGGGAGTGGAGGACTGTTACTGCTACTGTGCTAAGAGCTGAAATTGACTGAAATTAACTGTAATTTACCTTCCCTTGGAAGTTGCAAGTCTTCAATAAACTCCAGATTTCCAAAATAATTACATCAGACAGATTTTGCAGTGCAATTATTGTCTAGATAAGGAGACAAATTTCTGGTGTTTCCTATTCTACCATATTCCAAGAATCCTCTCTTTTTGTTTGTTTGGCTATTGTAAGTGATGCTACAGTGAGCTGAGATATGAAGAATGAACTAGATAAAGAGGAGAGATAACAATATTCTAAACATGTGGAGAAAGCATGATGATGAGTAAGAAAGATCTAGAGAGGCCCTTGTGGTTCCTGTATTAACAGTGGGGGTGGAAATATATGTAGGGATCAGACTACAGTTCTCATAGATAACATTAAGGATTTGGGTTATTATCTTAAGGGCAAAGGGGATGTGTAAAAGTTTAAGGTGAGAAGTAAGGGACTGGTATTTCACAAACATCATTGGCTTCAGTGTAGAGCAGGAGTCCATAATCTACGGTTTCTGGCCAAATCTATCCTGCTGCTTTTTTTTTCTATTGCTATGAGCAGTTTTTACACTTTAAAGGTTTTAAAATATCAAAAGAATAATATTTTATGGCATGTGAAAGTTACATATTTCAGTGTCATAAATAAAGTTTTATTAGGACATAGTTAGACTCATTATTTATGTACTATCTATGGCTGTTTTTCTGTTATAATTTCAGAATTGAGTAGCTGACAGAGACCCTAAGTCCTGCAAAGCCTAAAACATTTACCATTATTCCTTTTATAGAAAAAGTTTGCCAATCCCTAGTAAAGACATTGGAAAAGTGAAGCGTGGATGTAGGTACACCTTACCTCACCCTCAATACATTCTCTGCTCTCCTTCATGCTCCAGGGACTAACACTTAAGGTTGGCATCACTCAGACTTGCTTTCAGCTTTGGGTTTTGTTTAGTCAATAGGAATCACCCGGCAGAAGATGGGGAAAAAGAAAGAGATGGGGTATTCCTCCCTCTTAGTATCATTAGCTCAGAGGAACCCCGGGGCCTCCATTTCTGTCCAGGGTCCAATAAAACATTTCCTCCCCTTGTCCATTCAGACTTAAAGATGATAATGGCCTGCTAATCCTTGGGTTCATCAACACTCTTTATTGGTTTCCTTGTTCACATCTCTGTAAACATTTTAAAAATTATCTTTTTTTAAATTTTCCTCAATGCAATTTTTTCCTTTATTTTTACAAGTATAACTATATATATTAGAATTCATAACTGTTAGAAACCATGATTTTTTTTTGAGAGGT